TTCTTTATAACTTATCCCCTCTTAACTAACCCTTTCTTTACTTCTTTACCTACTAGGTAATAATATACTAAGTTATTAATAACTATTACCTAAACCTTTTTTACTATAAACTACTTTATAACTACTATAAGTTATTTATCCTATAGATAGTAGAAATAGAATTCTATATATAAGTATATCCCTTATACACTTGCTTAATTTATAGCTGCCTTTACCTCTACAAGAGACACTCCTTTCTCTATAACCTCTCTACGTTTATACTTCTTTAACTTTATTTCTTTACCTATACCCTATTAACTTCTAAACCTTATTAACCTTTCTTTTTTTTACTTATATTCTCTATTATAACTATAATATATAGTAGTCTACTAACTTTAGACTATATATTAACCTTTTATAGATTAGTAACATAGAAATAGATATATTTCTTTAACAAGAAGAGCCCTTTATTAAGCTAGAGTTTACTAGCACTAATATATAGATAGTAACTACTTTAGGAAGTAGCTATCTATAGGCTACTAAGTAATAGATAATAAAGCTATAGCCTATAAATAATAAGGTATAATTAGTAGCTACTAAGGGAAGTAGTAACCTACGCTTTAATAAGCTATACTCTATAATTATTATTATTAATAGTAACTATAAAACACTAAATTAGACTAAAAAGATCCTAAAGCAGCTAAATAGACTAACTAATAACTAAATACTATATAGCTTTATAAGAAAAGACCTATTTAAAGACTACAAGGATAGTAACTACCTATATAGATGCCTATTTAAGCTATAGTAACATCTGCTTATCCTATAGCGTAAGTAAATACTAGTGCTATAAGCTAAAAGATATAGCTAATAGCCTAGTAAAAGAAGACTTTTTATATAGAATACTGCCTTATTTAATAACTAAGGTAATAAGTAAAAAGGATACACTATCCTAAATAAAGTAGTTATAAACTTTAGTTTACTATAAACATAAATACCTACTTACCTTAATAATAGTATCTAAGTTACTTACCTACTATATATTTACTATAATAACCTACTTATAGGCTAAACTTACCTTAGCCTAGTAGCACTATATACACTAGACTACTGTTTAGCTAATAATAGTAACTAGATTAATATTAAGGTAGTATTACACTAATTAGTGTATAGTTAGCTATAAAGCCTAGTATCTCTTAGAAATAATATATAGATTTTCTTACTAGTAACTACTTATAACTAAAACAAGATATTTACCTTTATTAAAAGTATTAAAGATAATATTACTAAACTATTTAAGTATAAACGTAAAGTAACTAATAATAGTTAATTAAAAACTAAGCGTAAAGTAGTAGAGACTACTAGTAACTATAAAGAAGAGGAACACTTTATAGACAAAGACTTTAAGTATACTAAGATTAGTCCTTAGAAGTACCTATAGCCTACTATATATAATCTACTATTAAAGTAGACCTAAGCACTTAACTATATATACACTATTTTTAATAATAACTTAAAGAATAAAATCTTTAATAAATATAATAAGTAAGCTATACTATAAGTACTTATAGCTAGACCTAGTAAGGTATAGTAGTAAAGAGACTACTTAAGCACTAGTAAAGCTAAAGCCCTATAGAAGGCTATTAAGAATAGTAAATACCTTAACTTTATAACTATAACTATAGTAGTTATATAGTATAATTTAACCTTACCTAAGAGTTAGAATAACCTAATTATTACTAACTATATTAAACTACTTAAGACACTATAGAAGGCTACTTATAACTATTAACTAACTATTAATAATTTATTAGTTATATTTAGCTAATATAAAAAACTAAGACTAAAGCTAAAGCTAACTATAAAGACACCTAAACTACCTCCTAAAGCACCTATACTTACTAAAGTAAACCTTATAATAACTCTAATTAAAGTAGTCTATAACCTACGCCTACTTATAGAAGTAGACATTATAAAGATTAATACTATTATAACTACCTAGTAGTTACTAAAGGAAGACTAGAAGTTTATTAACTTTATATACTAGTATACTAATAATAGTTCCTTTCTTAATAAGCTATAAATCTAATAGCTTTACTAATATCTAGCTATAGATAAATAGACTAATTTACGCTAGTATATCTTATATCTTACTATAGCTAACTATAGTAAATATATAACTATTATTACTAATATAATACAGAAGATAACTATAAGACTAATAGGTAAACTAAACACACTTATACTATAATACTACTTTAGTATAGGACATAACTAAAGTAAATAAGTTAAGAGGCAATAGATAAGAATAAGGATAAACGTAACTAAACAAGAACAGATAGATTTACTAAAACTATATATAGCTACACATATATAGCTATAGAGACAAAAGGGAATTAACTTATCAATAGTAAGGGCACTATATTTTTAGAGGGGGCAGACTATTACATAAGCAGCCCACTGGCTGCTACATAAAGCAGCAAGACCACACAAGATAGATAGATAAATCAATGAACTACATACACACCACACCATACCATAACAGTCCTGGTGTCTTGATCTCCAGCCTCACCACCAGCCACATTCAGCCCCCCCCCCGTCCATCGCCACATGTAGATTCCGTACCGGTCCGTATCTTGCTTCTAATACATTCATTCGTTCACACACACACACACGAGGTATCCGTACCTAGATAGCACGGCTTCAGCATGTTGATATGTTTCTTATAAGTTGTAAATCTGCTATGAAATGTTGCTGTGTAGCTGGCGGCGCATATCCGCCCATCCGCGCCATCTTCACCTCCCACCCTTGCCCTTGCGCTTCCTCGTTCCCGCCGCTGGCCCCTGTCTGCCCGTCGCCGTGACTTCCTTCGCGTCGCTCTTCTCCTCCTCTTCCTCCTTGACCACCGCATCCGCGTCCGAGTCGTCGCTGTCCGACTCCTTGAACTCCTCGCCGGTGGGCACCTCGTCGCGGCCGGCCCGCGAACCGAGAACCTCCTGCATGATGCGCTTGCCCTCGTCCATCTCGCCGTTGGTGGCCCCGCAGCCCATGCACTTCCACTTGCCCAGCTCCGACAGGGTCTTGGTGCCCGGCGGGGCCTGGCCGTTGACCAGCCGGCAGCTCTTGCAGATGAGGACGATCCTGTTCTTGGACGCCGTCTCGTCTTCGCCGAGGAGGAGGTCCATGATGCGGTCGTACCAGTGCGACGAGCCGGGCACGCCGTCGGCCTGCGCAAAGTGCTGCGACTGGGTCGGCGGCGACGGCGGGTGGGCATATGCGTTGGGCGCGAACTCTTCCGTGGGCTCGAGGCCGTTCGGGGGCTGGGGGCGCGGGCCTTTTCCGCCCTGGAAACCGGGCGGCGGCGAGCCCTGGCCGGGGAAGGGGCCGTCGCGTCGCTGGATGTTGGCGGTGGGGGGAGGGGGCATGTTCGTCCGGCCACCCGGGGCGCTCTTGCTGTGACCGTTTCCTTGCAGATGCTGCTGTTGCTGCTGTTGCTGCTGCTGTTTCTTATCTGCTTCGGAGACGCTTTGCCTCTTGGCCTTGGCCTTGCCCTCATTGCCGCCGTACTTTTCGAGGAGCTCCAGGGTGGTGTCGTACCTGGTGGCTTCCTTGAGCTTCTGGATGGTCTTTGCGCGCTCGGCCTGCTGGTCCTTGAGGCGGGCCGACAGCGCATCGATGCGGTAATTGAAAAGAGCCGTAACGACGGTCCGGGTGAGGTAGATTCTGTTTGGGGAGGGGGGTTGAGGGTTAGCATGCGCCTTGCGCAAACGGGGTTCCGCAAGCCAGAAAAGAAAAGCCACGTACAGAACCGGACCCCCGGCGACGCCAGCCCACTCCCAGACGCCCATGCTGTTCATTCCCACGACGAGGAAGATGACGATGGAGTAGACGAGGTATGCGAAGGCGAGGTATAGGGACCACAGCACCCTGATGCGACGGGCGGTGGCTCGCGCGCCATCGAGCCTCGCCTGGGTGTTTGTGATCTTGGCCGAAAGAGCGGAGAGCGTCTTCTCGAAAGAGGCGGGGGAGGAGTCGTCGGCCTGGGATACATGGTGTCAGTCGAAGCGGTCCACGGCCATCTATCTCATCGCGGACGAAGAAGCAGAAGCAGAAGCAGGAGCAGGGGCGCAGACGTACCCTCCAGGGCCAGAAAGAGACCATGGCGAAGGATGATGCGAACACGTGCCGACTTCAGCGCGGCGGCATTGCCCGCGGTTGTCTGAACAGTGCAGAAGAGGCGAGACCAAGAACAGAGGAAAGAAGAGGAAAAAAGAGGACGTCGGCGCTGCGATACGATGCGCAACAGTAGAAGAGAATCCGACAAGTACAGCTGTCGGTATAGCCCGCTTGAGAAAGCAAAGATGTTGAAGGGGGATCCGGGGGGGGGGGGGGGGCTGGTGGCCTTTGGGGGGGACAGACGTGGATGGCGGGAGCTTCTGGAAGAATAAAAAAAAAAAAAAGAGTACGGAGATTTGCCAGCTGTTATGACGCAGGAGTGAGTGATCCTTAGGTAGGTTGGTAGGTAGGTAGGTAGGCATAGGTACCCTATTCCCTGCCCGGTACGGAGTAAACGTGGCACACACACACCAGACGATCCAACGGCGGGCGACGATGAGCTAAGCTAAAGGTGTGGAAAAGTGGGTCTGCAGCTCCCAGTTGGGCCTAGAGCTGCTTTGCTTGCTGTGCTTTATCTGGGGCGAAGCTCAAGGATGACTGCACCAGCCCGTTGTGACCTTGGAGACACATCTTCTCATATTATGTGTGTGTGTGTTTGCTTCAAGATATTTCACACGACTTGAAACAGATTCGGGACGGTTTGTCTCGTTGCAGAGGGAACTCGTGTTCCTTGTTGAACGTGATGGGTTCCTTGGGTATAGCTTCAATCAGCCGTATGCTTTGTCCGAAGCCGGAATCAGAGGATATGAGAGAGCAGCCAGTTTCAATGTCCTCCATATGGTTCACTTTTTTTTGGGGGGGGGGGTTTGACAAGATTTGCCCAAAACATGTTCTGAATTTGCCCTAGGTGCCTTCCACCCATCCTTGAAGCCTTGCACAAAGCGGTGGCCGGATTAACGACAGACTCTCCCTAGTCTGTCTACCCAAGCTGGACTGGGCCGTATGCGTTCCGCTTGGGTAGATACCCGGATACTTCCACGGTATTTCTTCTGGAAACCGTATATCGCGATGCGTATTGGGCATGATACTTATACTGCGTATCCCCAGCTATGTTAGATTATCACCATGTACCTGTGTGACCCTTCTGAGAGACCGCCTTGTATTCGTACCTATAAGTTTTCGGTATGGACTCCGCTTACACTCGGAAACCCTTAAAGGACGAGACTGCCGGAGAACATCACATACCCTAGCCCGGACCTTGCCCACGCAAGGAACCCAACCCGAGAAAACTGTTTCTTCTACTTTGCTAACTGTGCCCCCTAGAGACTGGGACATACTGACCTACCTCGAATACCAACCATGCCTCACCCCCCACGGCAGCTCACCCAACCCAATCCTCGTCGTCCGCCTCGACCAAACTCCACCCCTCCGTCCGCATCTCCACCTCCACCAGGTCGGCCACCCTCCTCAGCACCTCGAGCATCTCGCGCGTGCAAAACACCCGCGCCCGCCCCTCGTCGCTCATCCGCACCAGCCTCTCCCGGGCCATCTGCACCGCCGCCGTCTCCTCCTCCCCTTCCTCCTCCCCGCGCCCCAGCGCCCCCGCCAGCGCCGCCCCGAGCCCCTCCCGCACCAGCCTCTCCACCTCCTCCCCCACCGCCGCCAGCACCTGGCCCCGGACCTCCTCCGCGAACCGGCCCCGCTCGAACTCGAAGTTGTCGTGCACCCCCTGCGCCACCAGCCACCGCACCTCCTCCCGCAGCCGCATCCGCACCGCCTCCGGGCTGGTCCACGCCCCGTTGCGCATCCGCACGTCGCCCTCGACGTCGACGCTCCGCTTGGAGGCCCCCGACGACGGCGGCGACGGCGAACACGATGACGACGAGGACGGCGATGACGACGCCGGGCTGGTCTCCGTCTTGACGACCCGCAGACGCGTGACGGTTCGGATGCTCCCCGGCGTCCGAAAAGCGGACGGGATCGGCTGTGGAGAGGACTCCTCGACGCCAACGACGGGGGTCCCCGGACCGCCGCCGGGCGTGGGTGTCACGGGGCGGGAGGGGACGTGCTCGGGGACCCGGGCCGTCCGCGAGAGCTCCGCGAGGATCTCGGTCGAGGCGCGCGGGCGGAGGGTCGTTCGGCCGAGGGCGAAGGGCGGCAGGGCCCTGCGCGGCATACCTTGGCCCATGTCCGGGAAGAAGGGGTCCATATCAATGACATCGGCGGGGATCTCCCGCCCGAGGGCGCCCACGAGGTCGGCACCGGGCGCTGGGGGTCGCTTTGTTGAGGGTTTCTTGACGATCGGCATTGTTATTTCTGTGGTTAATGACTGGGATGTGTGAGTTTTCCTGATGCACGTTCGTTTTGATAGCCATTTGCCTGTTTCCGCATCCAATCCGGAGCTATATTATATAGATTCCACGCGGCATCTACCGCCATGTTTTGACTCTGACACAGTCATCATGAGCCTATCCAGGTCGACTCCCAGCGCAGTCACCATCTTGAAGAGACGGACGAGGTGCGAAGTAGCACAAGTCACTTGAAGAATAATTAAACGGATCGCTTGATCTGACATTCCAACCCCCCCCTAGAAGACCCGGCGTCATTTCGCCCAGTCACAGCCCCGGCTTGTCATCCGGGCGCCACGTCATGCAGACTGTCTTTGGATTCATGCACGCTAGAATCTTCAGGCCGTAACTTGGCATCTATTGGAGGTTTGTCTCCGTCGTCAGTGAGCCGCGCACCGGCGCGGAGCCAACAGGCAGGGCGGCAAGGGGGGGGGGGGGGGGGGGGATGAGACAAAGAAAGGATAGAGTTCGTCAACCCACAGCGGTGACGCGAGATTGACAGATTCGGAGAAGACGTATTGTCGGATTAGGACGAACTGATCACCGCCCCGGGCTTCCGCCCCGAACTGATATTCAAAACGCAGATACGAGTGTGCGGCACGATAGGCCGTACCGTCCTCTCTTGAGACGAGGCTGCAGGGTCTTGCGTGCGTCCAAACTATGTGTCTTTGGGTTTGTATGGGTGTGTGATTCCTACTCGAGATCATGCAGGCCAATCCGTCCCGGACATCATCCGGCGACGAATGGGCCGCAGTCTCGTGGTGGGCCTGCAGCAGTCCTGTACGGACGAGGAATATGGATGCATTGCGCTTTTTCCTTCCTCCCGGCTGCGTTATTTGTGGGTTTCAGCCAATGATTCGCCGGGGCACAACGACTTCGCATGCCCACCACCACCTTCAACTTGAGAAGGGGTCTCAGCTCCTGTCGGGGCTTCACTAGTGGCAGAGCTGGTCGACAAGGGCCGAGCTGAATTCTTTCTGTACGATGAGTACAATGGATGCGTGGCGAAGGCCATTCATTGCGAGGTCAGCAATGCCCCCGCGGCACAGCAGACGGCGGACGGCAGCTTCGGGGGTTGAGAAAACAAAATGTGTCTGACGGGATTATTGACGGCGGGTGAGCAACTGACACACCGAAGACATATCTTCGGTAAAGATGCTGCGCCGTGTTCGTCTCTTGAATCGGTTAAAAGCATTCCGATCGGCAGCGATTTGCTCTAAAGGGGAGAGTAGGCGGAAAGTAGAGTTTGGCTCAGGGTCGGGTTCGGTTCAGCGACTCGGCCCAGACGCTAGCTGCTTCATCGGCGGCCCCGCTGTCGTCCTTGTCTGCCAAATTGCGAGTGAGATGTGATAGTCGGGTATTATAGTTCTCGGGCATGTCGAGAGCAAAAGACAGTGTGGCCAGACCCCAACGGAGCTTCCCTTTCGGCGGGCCGGCTGGGGTAACGGGGGCTGCAGTTGCAGGAGCCGGGGCGGGTGCTGGGCTGGGCTGGGCTGGGCATCTGCGAGGACGTGTAAGTGAGGAGGAGAAGCGAACAGAGAGGGGTACGGAGTATCCGTATACCTAGTATGATCAGTTCTAGTTTGGAAGTGGGCACGGAACAGGGTACCGGTAGCACAGCAGCCATCGACCATGTCGATTGGGGCTCGTCGTAGGAGGAAGCATGAGGCATGTCGTGTAGGATTGGTTACTTACGTACGTAGAGGGTGACCCAAGAGGCACTCGGCTGGCGATCCCGCTGCACCGTTGCAAATCCCATTCTCCATGGATGGACCATCGGCGAGCGAGCGTACAGGGAAGGTGACGCTGTTCAAGGGAAGCAGAGTGCCGGATGAATAGGTGTATGCCGTCACCAACCACCCACGGATGGCACGTCAACGGCAGGTCGGAGCGCGGGAAGGGAAGAAGGAAAAAAGAGGGCACGGGAGGGGGCGCCAACAGACAGACATGCATGCATCCCCAAGACGGAAGCGACCTTGGAGACACAACCCCTCGGGGACACGAGAAGATGAAAAGATTTGCAGCAACAACAACAAAACCATGAGAGAAAGATGGAGATTCTCACGAGATGAATCATCAACGGACCGAGAAATACGGCCACTTTACAAAAAGTCAGAAGGAGCACGAGAACAAACCGGGAAGATGGGAGGAGGGCTGTTCCTGCCAGAATCAAATCACCGGAACATCGCAACCGGTGCAACTACCCACGTACATCGCAGTACTACGTACCTTCCTACCTACCTACCTTAGCACCGATGTACCAAGGTACTGTATTGTATGTACTCTGTACCTCAGCCGCAGATATTGGCGTGCAGGGGTACTTGACAGTCACATCCCGTCCTCCCATTGGCTCTGGTCGGGGCGGAAGACCCCACTTGACCGCTCGTTCGATTCGGCAGGGCAGATGGGCTGTTGTGCTGGCTCCTGCCCGTTCGACTCTGCAGCCAAATCAGACCACCTCTGGCTCCTCCCTCGAGCCAAAACCACGCCCTCCACGCCGCCCCCCCCCCCCCGAAATACGCACCCAATCTCGGGCGAACAACATTCCACGATACTTCGGTCGGTTGCTTGACGCGAAGACTCGGGTGCCAGTCTTGCGTCCAACTTTTCAACACGTCGTCCCGGACGATCAAGGGTCCGGGCTCATCGGATCGTCTCCAAAGAGGCGCATTACCGCGCGAGGAAATAATCGATACCTCCTCAACCCTTGTCACCAAGCACCAGCGAAACTTTCCATACCCGTCCTCCCTCCCTCTAGTGCGACCGTCCTCTGTTCGGCTCTGGATCTCAGTTTCTTGGGCCTATGGGTGAGTGACGACTGCCCTGCTCCTCCCAGCTATCAGCTCTGCGTACATCACCAGCACATCACTACCTCTTGGGCAAGGCACAAAATGGCATGCTGCAAAAGCTTCCATCCAATCTTTCGCACTTGCAGAAAGACGGCCCCCCCCCTGGGAACTTCTGCTGTTGGGAGCTAGGCGAAGTGGGCACGAATAATAGGCACGCGCGCGCGGGGGACGGAGGACCCTGGAGATCTCGATCCCGCACCGTCACCACCACCAACGAGGGCTGTCAAAACAGGCGCCGCGCAGAGAGGCAATCTGCAACGGCCATCGGAATCAGCAGCGAGGGTCGCGTCCAGCAGGAGAAACAAGAAACGCCCGCGACGGAGCGTCAACTACGACGTCAGCCAGCGATGGTGCTTGGCTACCGTATTAGTTCATGGCTACCGTGGATCCGCGCATTCACCGGCCACTATGAAAAGTAAAAATCCTGGACATGGGCGCAGTTTAGTCCAAGTGGCCCGCTAAGATCCCGGGATCTTTCCATTTCGCCGTGTCCCGTTCCGGGATTTGCACAACATCCCGAAACCCCGCCCTCGTTGGCGACCCTGACACTAAGCAGTGTATCGTGATAGACACGTTCTCTTTTTCTACCCTTTTTTTCTTCTTCTTTTTTTCTTCTCTCCTTCCGGACTGGGGCGGGGTGGACACTTCAGCAGCACCAACGCCAACCATCGTCCAGCCCAGTTCCGAGTATTTTCGTATGCGGTAATACATATTCTCCGTCTAAATGCTGCTTCTCTGCAGGCGTTGCATTGCATATGTACAGTCTACAGCCATCCGCGCATACAACAAAGGTCTCGGTTTGGCCAATGGAGCCCGAACCGTGTACTGCCCTACATGAAAAGTACATCAGGCATCTGAGTGTGGGCCTGGCACCTGGAGAAGCCGTCCGTTGGTGAGCCCGGATACAATCACCCGGCGGCCCCCGGTCGTGGTCGAGTGCCTGGTGTCACACCCCTTGGCCTCTCCCCAAGTCTATCTGTACATGCCATGTGAACTGGCCAGTACCTCTGCCAGGCACGCCGCACGCCGTCCTGTATGGACCGTTTTGCTTGCTCTTCATGCCCCGGTCCCGGCGCGGCCACGCCCTCGCGCATGTGTCAAAAGAGGGCACCACACACCATACATCTTATGTCAATCATCAGTCTTTTGCACCGTCGGCTCCGCCCGCCCGCACCATAGGCCAAACCATATCAGCCTTGGAAGAGGAGGGGCCTCGCCGTCGTAAGTGTACCTCTTGTTTGTTTTTCGTCACAGTTTGCCTTGCGCCCCCCCCAGTGTGCTCATTGTTCTGTCGTATGACGGGCCCGTCCATCGCCAGTTTCTTATGCGGTCCCAACTCGCATCATCCCTCCCCCTCCCCCCCATGCTCGCTGCCCACCCTACCCGCATCCCAGCCGGGGAGCCGGACCCCAGCTTCGTAGCTCAAGGGGGCGTGTGCATCTCTGGGCTAGGCCTGTCCTCCCGTTCAGTTCACCTGTCTAGTATATAGCTTTGCTTTCCTTTCTGTGTCTCCCCACCGGTCCATGCTCGATCCATCAGCCTCAACCAAGTAACATCATACCTCCCTCTCGCCATCGGCATCCTAAGCAAAACAAACATATCTGGACCTCGACCTTTCTCTCCTACCCACCGAGAGTAACGCCACTTCTCTTTACTCCCCCCATCAGCTTTGACTCCTCCAGGACAGTCCGTCGTCAGACCCCGTCCGAACCCCCAGTCAACCTTACCCCTCCATGGATCGCATCATGGCCCAACAACAGTCCTTTGATTATTATCAACTACCGCAAATGCCTCAGTCAATGGTGTGTAGCAATCCAGGTGTCCTTTGTTTAACCCATTAACCCCCCCCCTTTCCCGACTTACACGACACTTTGTCGTTCGGTCTCACCCAGTAACCCAATCCACTTCCCACAACTCCAATTGAAGAAAAATACCCACTAACACGGCCTCCCCCAGAGCCCTCCCGAGCTCTCTCCGCACTCCTTCTACGACACCCAGGCCGACTTCAGCGCCGACTCGGCCCCTTCCCGCGGCTCCCCCGTCTCCCCCGTCTTCCCCGCCTCCTTCCAGCTCCCCTCCGGTGGCGACTGGCCCACCGCCTACTTCGAGAAGCCGGACCTCGACGTCTTCTACGGCGAGGCTTTCGGCAGCCCAATGTCCTTCCTCTCGTCCCAGAACCTCACCCTGAGCCCCCCGGCCAACCCCGCCGACCTCATGTCCGACGCCGTCGCCTTCGGCCGCGAGGGCGTCAACGACAACCAGCCCGTCTTCCAGGACCTCGACGCACCCGCCCGCCCACAAAAACAACAACAACAGCAGCAGCAGCCACAGACCAAGTTGTCGCGTCCCGCCAGAACAACACCATCCACGCCTCGCCCCCGGTCCCAGCAACAACAAGAACAACAACCGCAAAGGCAAGCTCCCCAGAGGACCTCCCCGCGCAACAATGACCTCAAGCGCAAGTCCTCCTCCGCCTCGGCCTCCTCCCGTTCGATCTCGCCGGAACCCCCCGCGCGCCGCACGCGGCACGCCGAGCCCTCCAGGAACCCGCACAACATGATCGAGAAGCGGTATCGCGTCAACATCAACGAGAAGATCATCGCCCTCCGCGACGCCGTCCCCTCACTGCGCTGCGTCGTCCAGCAGGCCGAAAACCCGCAGGTCGTCGGCGGCGGCGACAGCGACGAGCCCCATGACGTGGTCGAGGAGCTCGGCGGCCTCATGCCCGCCCGCAAGCTCAACAAGGCCACCATCCTCAGCAAGGCCACCGAGTATATCACCCACCTCGAGAAGAAGAACGGGCAGCTGTGGAAGGAGAACCAGGACCTCGAGAAGAGGCTCGCCGAGGCGCAGCGATGGCAGAGGGCGCGGGCCGAGGCCGGGCCGTTCTGTTCGTGAGTTGTCCTTGCATCACGTAATCTTTACACGGCGATGGGGGCGGAGAGTTGGAGAAGAAAACCCCGGGGGAAGACGAGACACAAAAATATACCATAGATGTGTGTCCGAGACTGCCCTGTATCATTACGCAGAATGAGGTAGCCGGCTTTTGGGTAGAGCAAAAGGGTGGGGTTACGAACGCTGGGAACGGGTTGTTTGCGACATTGTTGTTTTCAGACAAAAGGGCGCTTCTCACGGCATGGAAGGCGGCTACTCTTGTGACGTTTATCCCCAGGAGAAAAAGCTTTGGCATACCACGGGGACGGACGAGGTCTTCTCTTGCCTCCTTGTCAAGAAATGGCGTTTTACGGGGGTGGGCTCTCGGGATGAACGAGGATCTGTTTTACGAAATTGCGAGAGGTCTTGCTGTATTGGATTTAGCGGCCGGGACGAGCCCCCTTGGGCTCTTAGTTATTACCACTCCACATCTTTTTCCTGTTCTTCTTCTTCTTCTTCGTCTTATTCATATTCTTTCCCCCGCGTAGAACTGCGGATAATGAAAAACTGCATCAGGAACATGGCTTGATTGCCTTACCCAGCGGAATGCGGGTAGCCATAACCGCCATGGATGGTGATTTATCCCCGGTGCGAAACTCCAACCTGATATGCCGGCCTCCTCGCCGGAATGAATCTGAATCTTGAAAGCCATCTTGGCCTTTCGCCTATAAGTCCCCGTAGTGGTTCACAGGCGCTACATCTGTAGCTATGATGGGTTTGCCCAGCAGGTCGGAACGGATGCGCGGACCGTTCGGGGTGGCGGGCATCAGCTTCGACCGAGCGGCTCGGGATCGGACGGCGATGATGGTGGGATTCTCGTTGTTGTACTCCGTAATCCCCAGCGATTACCAACACTATGAAGGATAGTGGATCCATACTACCTACATCGTACGACTCCCTGCGTACGGAACCTGGGAACGTACAGGATATGTGACGGTGTTCTCGATTATGTCAGCGACATGCAGGGCCCAGCCAGCGAGAGTCGCGATATATGGGTATACACCATGTACGAATATATATACGTATATATATATATATATATATATATATACTTATATACATATACCATGTACACGTATATATGGCCCACAGCGGCGACTTTTAGCGGCGCTTCAAAGGGCTCCGCTCCGCGCCTTCGATCATAGCGGCATATTAGATGGTGTTGTTCGACTCGGGGAAAAGCCACGGCCAAGAGCAGACACAGTCCACCACACGTTTCGCTCCATCTTCCTTGCTTGCCAATGCCATGGAGCAGCCCCAGAGCACCAGCGACAAGGCCCAGCACCGCGCCTGCGACCCCTGCAGTAACGCTCTCTCTCTCTTTCTCTCTCTGTCTCTCTCTCTCTCTCTCTCTCTCCCCATCCCTCTAGCCGCGCCTGGCCTGCCTACCTAGTGAGCGAGTGACGGCGTCGCTGACCACAAGTATGACAAACAGGGAAGCGGAAAGTGAGATGTTCACGCCGTGCTCCACCTTGTGAACGGTGCTCGTACTTTTCGTTGGACTGCGAATACTCTCCCATGAGGACCATAGGCCGTCCGCGTCGACGCCCGTCCGCCCGGCCTCGGGAGGAGAACGCCGTCGGTCAACATGCGCTCCCGACGCCGACCGCCGGTCTCATCGACGTCGGCGGCTTCCCCGAGATGATGGACCAGTTCTTGAACGGCTTCAACACGCCGCTTCCCTCCTTCACTATGGACTTTGGTCCTGTTCAGGCCGGCGGCAGCAGCAGCAGCAGCGGCGGCGGCGGCACGCAAGGCCAGTCGGCAGTGCCGCCGCCGCCGCCGCCTTTGACGAACGGGCGCGAAGCCGAGGCTAGCGTAATGCTGGAATCCCAAGACCGTCGCGGCCCATGCATGCGTCTCCACTGTTCCGTGGCACACGGCGAGACAAACGCCGATCGTGTCACGACTCCCGCCCAAAACACAGAAGGCGCGGCACCGACCCCGGGGCCTCTGCTGTCCAAAAAGTGCTCCTGCGTCGAGCTGGTGAGCCGGCACTTCTCCCTGGTGGAGAGCCCGCTCGACACGTTCCAGGCCCTCGAGGTGATCAAGCAGTCGATGCAGTCGGCCAGGAAGATCCTCGAGTGCGGCGTCTGTTTCGAATCCATCACGAGCCCCCGCACCTCGAGGAACGTCTACCTGCTGGGCTCGCTGCTGTCGAGCATCGGCTCCTCCTTCGGCGACTTCTTCTACCACCAGAAGCGGCGCGCCGCCGAGTCCTCGGCCAGCGGCGAGCCCGTCCGTCTCGTCGTCGGCCAGCAGCCGCCCGAGGGCCACGGCACCGTCGAGCTCGCCGTCGACGGCCAGAGCTACATCGCCTTCCTCAAGGCGGGCCTGAGGCTCGAGCTCGACCGCCTCTTCGGCCTCGCCGACGAGCTGGCCGCGAGGCAGAGCCAGCTGCACACCGAGGGGCACGAGAACTGCGAGACGGGCACGAGCTGCAGCAACACCGAGTCCCTGCCGGCCGCCAAGCACCCGGCAGAGGTGTGTCCCAAGGAGGTGGACATGACCAAGGCCTGCGCGTGTTTCCGGACCGTCGATCAGGTGCGGGCGGTGATAGAGGAGGCGCAGAAGATCATCTCGGCGTGAACTGGACAGCAGCCGTTCGGAGACCAATGGGAACCCCCCCCCCTTCCCTTTCCCCCCTCGGCCAGAGCTTCATTCTCTGGGCTAGACGACATGTCGGACTGTTCCGATAAAGGTTTCTCGGCTTCCACTTCCGGGAGCACGAGCAAAAGATCCCCTGCCCCTCCCCCCCCTTCCAACAAACAACGTATGACTAGCTTCGTTTTCTTTTGGTCCGTGTTGACCAAACGTTACCTACGTTCAGTTTGTTCGTTTTTTAGTTCTTTTCTTTTTTTTTTCTTTTTTTTTTTTTTTGCTCTTAAATACCCCTCCTTCTCCTCTCTGCAGCGAATGCGTGGATCAATCTGAGCGTTTCAGAGGACAGTGACGCACAAATAAAATGGGTGTTAATGCGGCGCGGCACCTTTGAGCGTGAAACACCGCGGAGACTTTCAAACCCGCCGTTCGAAAATCCCACCCCGGAGCCGAAACGGGGTTCAGGATGGTCGTCGTCTAACACAACTTCGATTCTAACGCTGTCTATTTAATGAAGAAGCGCGTCTTTTTCCAACTCGGCTACAGTTCAACGTCATACACACACACACACACACACACACACACACACACACACACTGTCCCTTCTCTGCACCCTTGTTTCTTCACCGTCGGTTCACTTCTTCCGACGCTCGCTTCCACCATGGGTGAATCGTGCTGTGCTAAACCAACCGGGGATCACCAGCATCACGCCTCGACACCCGAAGAACATGGCCATGGCCATGGCCATGGCCATGAGCATGGAGGATGTTGCGGCGATTCCCATCACGATGCTTCTAGCATCTCGTCCGAAGCCTCGACCTGCTGCGGCAGCGAGGAACGTTGTGACGGTAGCCCCCTCCCCCCCCATGTGTCTCCATTCCAGCCCACCCTACGTTTGGTATAGCCAAACTCTAACGCGTCTCTGTAGAGAAATGTATCGAGACCGTCGCGGCGCTTGAATGTGGACGAGCTTGTCAGGATGATCCCGGCCACGAGAGTGAGTTCATCCCCCCCCCCCCCCCCTGCCTGCTCATGGGGCTGCACTTCCCATGTTTTGTTCGGCGCGCTGATTGGGATGCAAGAGTCCTTGGACCACCCCCACGAGCACGAGAACGGCGACCACAGAGCCACGTCGGCTTGCAGCACTCACCTGCAGGCTGCTTTCGACCAGTACAGCAGCTACCTCGAGCAACTCCGCTGCATCTGCCGCAGCGTCATCGACCAAGGCGCCGCCTCGCTCGAGACCTGTTGCATGGGCAACAACAGGCCCAGCGCCGCGAAGAAGACAAGACACAAACTCGCGGGAGACGAGCACGAGAAGCACAGAGGAAACACGGCCGTTGCCGTGACGACGACGACGACCTCCTCCAAGGCGTCCGGGAACGGCGCCGAGGAACGCCCCAAAGGCGCCGACCCCGAGAAGACGGGCGGCGTCGAGACCGTCGGCTTCCTGGTCAGCGGCATGGACTGCACCTCCTGCGCCGACAAGCTGATGCGAGTGCTCGGCGCCGCGACGGGCGTCTCCCAGCCGCAGGTGAACTTTGTCAGCGGCAAGGGCGAGTTCGACGTCGACACCTCCGTCGCCGACGCCGACGGGGTCATCCGCTTCGCCGCGGCGGCCAGCGGCTTCGCGCTCAGCAGGATAGCCGGCGGCGACCACTTCCTGCTCCTCCTGGCCTCGCCGGCCGAGGGGGAACGGCTCGCCGCGGACCCGCCGCGGGGCGTCACGGACGTCGAGTCTCTCGACAAGAAGACGGTCCGCCTCGCGTACGACCCGGCCGCCATCGGGGCCCGCGACCTCTTCGCCCTCGTCGAGGACCGCTGCGGGGGTCTGGCCCGGCCCCGCGGCGATCCCCAGCTGGAGAACGGCCGCCGCCGTCTCCGGGACCAGCTCGCCAAGACCGCCCTGGCCGCCGCGCTCACCATCCCCGTCGCAGTGCTGGCGTGGGACGAGGGCCTGGTCGACGACAGGACGGGCGGGATCGTGTCCCTGGTCCTCGGCACTCTGGTCCAGGCCGTCGCGGTCCCCGAGTTCTACCGCCCGGCTCTGTCCGCTCTGTGGTACAGCGGCGTCGTCGAGATGGACATGCTCGTCGTCATGAGCATCACCGCCGCCTACGTCTACTCGGTCGTCGCGTTCGGCTTCGACATGGCCGGCGGGCCGCTGGACGAGGGCCACTTCTTCGAGACCAGCACCATGCTCGTCACCCTGATCCTCGCCGGCCGGCTCGTCGCCGCGTTCGCCCGCGTCCGCGCCGTCGCCGCCGTATCGTTGCGCTCCAAGCAGAACAACACGGCCGTGCTCGTCGGCGGGAACGGCGACCGCGAGATCGACGCCCGCCTGCTCCAGTACGACGACCGGTTCAGGGTCCTGCCGCACTCGCGCGTCCCCACCGACGGCGTGGTCGTTTCCGGCAGGACCGAGGTGGACGAGTCCATGCTCACGGGGGAGTCCCTCCCCATCGTCAAGGAGGAGGGCGACAGTTTGATCGCCGGCACCGTCAACGGCGACGGCACCGTCGTCGCCCGGCTCACCCGCCTGCCCGGGAAGAACACCGTCACAGACATAGCCCGGCTGGTCGAGGAGGCCGCCGGCTCCAAGCCCGAGCTGCAGGGCCTGGCGGACAAGGTCGCCGGCTGGTTCGTCCCCGCGATGGCGGCCGTCGCCGTCCTCGCCTTCGTCGTCTGGGTCGCCGTCGGGATCCGGGTCCTCGGCTACAGCGCCGGGAAGAGCGTCGGCAACGCCGTCACGTACGCCGTGGCGGCCCTCGCCGTCGCGTGCCCTTGCGCCCTCGGCCTCGCCGTCCCCATGGTCCTGGTCGTCGCCGGCGGCATCGCGGCCAGGGAGGGCGTCGTCATCAAGTCCGCCGACACCACCGAGGGCGCCCGGAAGACCACCGACGTCGTCTTCGACAAGACCGGCACCATCACCGAGGCGGAGCTGACCGTCGTCGAGCAGGTCAACCTCCAAGGAGACGCGGACGAGAACCTGACCCTGGCCAAAGCCCTTGTCGCCGGCGGCAAGCACCCGGTATCCGCTGCGGTCGGGGCGCACCTCGACCGCCGTGGCGTCACGCCCGCGTCCGGAATCGCCGATGTTCGGGTCGTCCCCGGCGCAGGCGTCGAGGCAGACCGCAAAGGGTCGAGTCTCCGGGCCGGAAACGCGCGATGGACCGACGCCGACTCGGACGCAGAGGTGGCGCGTCTCCAACAGGCCGGCCTGACCGCCCTCGTCGTGGCCCGAGACTCGGCCCCTCTCGTCGTCTTCGGCCTCGCCGTCCGGATCCGGCCGGAAGCTCCGCGGGTGATCGCCGAGCTCCAAGCCCGCGGCATCGCAGTCCACCTCGTGTCGGGAGACCAGACCGTGGCCGTCGAGGCGGTCGCCGCCGCCGTCGGCATCCCCGCGGAGCGCGTCGCCGGCGAGCGGACCCCGCCGGAGAAGCGCGACTACGTCTCCGCCCTCATGGGCGACGGGGCCAGGCACGTCCTGTTCTGCGGGGACGGCACCAACGACGCAGTCGCCGTCGCCCAGGCCAACGTCGGGGTTCAGATTGGCGGCGGCAGCGGCGGCAGCAGCGACGTGACCCAGGGCGCGGCGGACGTGGTCCTGATGAGCGGCCTCGAGGGGATCCCCTTCCTGCTCGACATCAGCGGCGTCGCGTTTCGCCGGATGGCGTTCAACTTTGTCTGGTCCGGCGTCTATAATGTTCTTGCCGTCACCATGGCGAGCGGCGCCTGGGTCAGGTTCCGCATCCCGCCCGCGTATGCCGGGCTGGGCGAGGTGGTGAGCGTGCTGCCTGTCATCCTCGCTGCCATGTCCATGTTGCTCGTGAGGCTTCGTAAATAGAGCACAGGGCAATATGCGCTTGTTCTCTCTCTCTCTCCTACGTAGTCGAAGCAGTTTGCTAATGTCATGCACTGACCCCCCGTATGGCTCTAATTGTGGCACTATTGCTGAGATCCAATAACCTGTGGCATCCACGCAAAACACAGGGCATCTAGACTAGCAGGTCTGGAAGTCAGCCATGCTCGAGTGGATATGCCGGCAGTCCCATTTCAGCGCCGTAACAAATATGGATGGTTAGATATAACTATATTGCTGTTTAGTATTTATTATGACTACGGATCGTCTAGTAACTGGGCTCCGTTTTCTTCAACGTGCACAGCCCTCCAGTCGAAGCACCTGAACCTGAAGTTGGATCTGGGTAACCTAATGAGGCACTGGCTCACCACTAGCATTTGCGATTGAACTCGGCATGGTAACGAGCTGGGGCACTCGAATGGCAGAAACCAAGCATTTGCACACAGTCTGAAGACTGTCCGATGTTCTGGCTATGAGCAAAACGCTCCACGTCGCTTCTCTACGCAATAGCGCACAAAATAATGCGAAAATGAAACTCAAAGGGCGACCCGGTCAGGTCAGGATTCAAACTCAAAGAGCTTTACACCAAGCTAAAACGCGACAGTGGCATGTGCTAACCCTAACCCTGTCTGACCGGAGGTAATGGGGCATGAGCAAGAAGACCCCCGGCGCAAATTCAATTTCGTAGAGATGACTCCTCTTCAGCCTTCAATGGCTTGCGGCCGTACATGACGTATCTATTCCAATAAGCATGGATGTTAAGATCCTGAAGGTCCTTCCGTACACCGGCACAAAGGACCACTACCTCCTCCTTGGACCAGTCCAGCACACGGGCAAAGGACCCCAGGCTGAACGCCTCCAAACCCTGGAGCAGCTGTTCCCGGTTCCGGATGCCCAGATTCCTGAGCTTCTTATCCTTTGACCATGGTGAGATTGGAAACCTGATCTTCCCTGTGTGTATATCCTCGAACCCCCGCGGCAGCCATCTTGGCCGGCATCGTGTCTGTCTTGTCAATGGGGCGCCCGAGCTTGCTGCAGGCCTCGACGAGGAGCCGGCTCCACTTGCGCAGCGCAGGATCCTCCTCCAAGGCGCCGTCGTCGCAGACGAGAGGCCAGATGATGCCTTGGATCTCCAGGTGACGGCCCGGTTGCAGATGGTTGTGGGCCTGCCCCAGCACGCCCTCCCAGTTGGCGAAGCTCCCGTTCATGTTGCGGGCGGAGACGAAGTCGAAGGGCTCGGTCCACGCCCACTCCTTCTCCGCGTCGTCGGTTTCGAAAGTGCAGTTGGGCGGGACGTACCCCGGCTTTATGGGGGTGAAGTCGACGCCGACGATGGCCGCCTCCGGGTGCGCGTCGGCGTGGTCGAGGGCCCAGATGCCCGTTCCTGTGCCGAGGTCGGGGACACGGTCGGCGGAAGTGGGTTTGTTCTCTGGGCACAGGCACGAGGCCCCGTCGAGGGTCACCATACACATGTGGTTGACAATGTCCAATCTTTCTTGTTCTCGCTCGTCGTTCGGGAAGACGTACTCGCCGTCGCTCATGATGTGCTATGTCCGTCCATTCTCGCGACGGAACCCCAGGATGCTGGATCTCAGCGACGCTTTCTACTTGTCCGTCGAGAAACCTCCGATGGAGGAGGAATCGTCCGCAACAGGCTCGTCGGTCTGATCTTGTTGTTGAGTTATCCTCTTTCTGAACTCCTGTTCACTGTGTGTAGATTGGCCGAAACCTGTGAGCCGATTGCTTGAGGACTCCGGATGCTTTTATATAGGTGACGGACGGCTTCTGTTTACCGCTCTTTGCGAGGACACCCTTACTCTGAACCCCTCTCCACTTATACTATCATATATCGTATTCGTGCCCTATTAAAGACTGGTAGGGTGTTCAGTTTGCTGTTGGGTGAATATTACATCCTGCATGCTGGGGATACAAGCCCCCACCTGCTACCGGGGTCTGGGAACCGCGGAACAATACACGCCGACCGACGTTTCCGGTTCCTGGTTTGCAAGCATCAATCAGTCAATTTTCTCATTGTTTTTAGTAGCGTTCAGGGCAATGGCTTCCAGTTGACACGTCGAGCTTGGTCTGGCTGTTTTGCACCATGAAATGCTTCAACTGGCGTCCCAATTCCCGGCGAGGGTCTGTCTAGGTTTTAAGCGAGGCCTCAAGGACGGAAGTGTGGTATAGAAAGACGAATGATTCTCTGAAGAAAAGGGAGAAGAAGCTTTCCAATAATATTGCTACTTGTGAAGATATTTACTCGTTAAGGTCAGATGGCACGTAAGAGACTGTCAAACTACGAATAATATAACCCTCTTAGGCTCGCCATGAATATACTCAAAGATTCGAAATGGCGCTAACAGAGCTAAATATGTGAGGAGACTGAACAGAATGCCTCTAGCAAGCCCAAATCAGGACAGAAAAAGTGTTTATCTTCGTGCCACGCCTTGTACGGGATCTAGTCTAGGTTGCAACGAGGTACCCAGGCCATGAGCAGCAGTGTGGGTTGCGCCAGTGGCAAGAAAGAAGTCTACGTTTTCATATCGAAGAGAACTAGTTGTCAGTCAAAATTCTTCATCGTCCAGATGCCATCCATTGTCATCTGAGAAAGGCAGTTTGCCTTGACTTTACGTTAGATTTAGGGCGGCGGTTTCTCTCCCTCCTCACATGAGCCAAAGATGCAGCAGGAGTCCAGGGCGGCAGGTTTTGACGCCGAGAATCCTGCGAAACCACAATTACTGAGTCAAATATCATTAATTACTAGCTGGAAGTCATATGTGCATCTGGCGATGGAGTTAGAGAGACAGGTAGTAACACGACCGGTGATACGACGTTGCGGGCATTGAACCTTCATGTCAAAAGTAGTGACATATCGGTATCCACACTCCATGCCGATCGAGACTGATTTCGACAGCTTAGCCAATCAAACCCATCTGACACGGCCAAATCAGGCTATCGATATGTCATCGCTGATGGCCTCTTGGCTGGCTATAAGTTTTGGGGCGTGTGGGCTTTTCGCAGGCAATGTACCTGTAGATGAGTGCACCGGTGGATGAGGCTGGCGGAATGGTTCAGCCCGTTTCTGGACAATCCAAGGTACACAATTACAATCCGGGTCTATACGTTCGTGTCAAAATGCAACATGATACTTCAAATGGACGCGGGGAAACAGCCAGCAACAGGGGTGAGGACGGCCCATGTAGCCCCCCTGAGCGCATGGCAGATGCAGGACCGGTCCAGCTCGACTATGAACAAGAACTCCCGCCCGATGGAGGCTATGGCTGGGTCATTGTGGCATCATGTTTCACCCTGAACTGCTTTACTTGGGGCGTCACTTCGGTTTGTCAACGACGTTGTGTCCTGCCCTAGGCGTCGCTAACCCGAAAGCGTAGTCTTACGGCGTTTACCTCTCCCACTACCTGTCCTCAGAGCTCTTCCCTGGCGCGACGTCAATGGACTACGGCCTCATCGGGGGCTTCAACTTCGCCTTTGCCATGATTCTTGCGCCCCTGGCAACCTACACGGCCCACCGCTTTGGAAAGCGCGGTGTCATGCTTGCGGGAGTCGTCATGCAGTCTGCCGGGCTCATCTCCGCCTCCTTCGCATCAGAGGTCTGGCACCTCTATGTAACGCAAGGCGCGCTTGTCGGCGGCGGCATCGGCCTAGTCTTCGTTCCAAGCCTGCCGGTTCTGTCCCAATGGTTCTCGGAGAGGCGCAGCGTCGCCAACGGCATAAGCTCAGCCGGTTCCGGGGTCGGCGGCGTCGTCTTTTCCTGGGGCACCGGTGCGATGATCCACAACCTCGGACTTTCCTGGGCGCTCCGTGCCATGGGCCTGGTGACGTTAGTCGCGAACACTGCCGCAACGCTACTCATCCGAGACCGGCAGGCCAGGTCAAACAAGCTAGTCATCGACGTCCAGCTACTGCGGAGGTACGAGGTTCGCCTCCTTTTGCTCTGGGCGTTCATAAGCATGTTCGGCTACATCACTCTTCTATTCTCCCTCGCCGACTTCTCCCGTTCCGTCGGCCTCTCCTCGGCACAAGCCACGGATGTGACAGGTGTCCTCAATTTCGGCACCGCGGTGGGAAGACCGCTTATCGGGATCACGAGTGACCACTTTCGAAGAATCGACACCGCCGGCATGTTAACCCTGCTGTGCGGCGTCATCTGTTTTGCCATGTGGCTACCTGCCACAACTTTTGCCTCGACTCTAGCGTTTGCCTTCATATGCGGCGCTATACTCGGCGTTTTTTAGATAGTTCGTGGCATAAATCCCTGGCCAGCTCTGTCTTCCCTTGGGATATTGTTAGGTGCCAGAGGTGGGGGGCACCAGGGGACCACCAGCTGTAGGGCCACAACCAGGAAAACTATTATCTAAGGGTTATATAAAAGCAGAGTTTATAGGAACAGGAGAATTAAGAGAAGGCAGATTAAAAAATAGTTATAATTAACTCCTAACTATATATTTTATAGACTCTTTTACTTAGTACTATAATACCTTTAATATATTTTAATTTTTACTTATCCTTAGGTATACTAACTATTAAAGCTATAATATTACCTTCTAATACCTAAGCTACTGCTTAGTAAGGTATAAGTGTTACTTTTAGGTAACTAACCCTAGACAGTAGTAACACCTAGGCATAGATAAAAAATAAAGGCCTACTAGTGTAATAATAACTCTAAAGTAACCTTAAAAAGATAATAAAAAAAAAGCTTAAGCACTTTCTAGAGAAGTAAATAAAAAAAGCTAAAAAAAAAAAAATAGTTAACTAGATTTTAGCTTTAATAAATAAAGCCCTTATTAAAGAAGTATATAATATACTAGGCCTAGCTATTACTTTTTAGCTAAAGTATAAGTACTACTATATTAATATACTATTAAAGTAGTTACCTTTAATCTAATATAAGAGAGGTATATAAAATAACCTCTAGGACTTCTTATTTAAGCTAAAGGGATAGTTTAAAGTTATAAAAGAAAAATTTAAGGATAACTAAAGTAAAGTGTAGTATACTAGCTTTATACTAAAGGGTAACCTAGTATATAAGTAGTAGAAGTATATTAAAGCCTACTATAATAACTAGATAAAAAAAGTAACCTAAGAAATAATAAAGACCTAGTTAAAGAATAATATTACTAATACTAATATATAGGCCTTTAGTATAATAGTAAAGCTTAATAATATAAAGTAAAAAGTTAGCTAGTTATACTAGTAATTTATTAATAAGTATAAGACTATTAAAATAAAGTACTTTAACTTATAAGCTAAAAGGTAATAAGTAGTCTATATACTTAACTAGTTACTACTTAATCTAAAGAGCTATATATTAGCCTAAGGAATACTAAAGATATAATAAGCCTTTAATAATACTATATAATAGGCTAAGACACTAGCTAAAGCTTATACTAAAGATAAACTAGTAGACTAGTAAAAGTAGAATTAGAAGTAGAAGGACTAGTAAGCTTTAGCTATACTACTAAGTCTTAATATAAAGGTCTTTATAATAAAGCCTTAGTCTATATACTTTATATTTACGCCTATAATAACCTAAGGTATATTAACGCTAACACTAGAGGCCTTAAGAGTAAAAGAAGAAAAAAGTAACTACTTACCTTTAACTAGGCTATAGTACTTCTTAACTTACTTTAACTATAGTAAGCTAAGGTATTTATTAGCTAGCTATACTAAAAAGAAGTACTATAAATATAGTTAACCTAAATACTTAAGTAAATAGTATATAATAAAGGTAATAAAGGTTAATACTATTTAATTATCCTAAGAAAAAAGCTATACTACTAATTTAAGGTAGACTTTTACACTAGGATAAGTAGTATATAAAGAAAAAAAAAACATTAATTAACCTAGGGGTAAATAAAAACCTTATACACTAGAGGATATTATATATAAAGAGGCTACTAGTAGTCTATAAAGAAAGACTACTACTATAAAGTATATAAAAAGGTAAAGCCTTAGACTATAGTTTAAAGATAATAGTATTAAAAGTAAAAAATAATATTAAAATATTAAAAATATAAAGCTATACTTTATAAGTAAGTAATATAAGGGGATATAATATTATCCTAAAGATCCCTAAGGGTAAATAGTAAAGCCTAACCTTAAGTAAAAATAATTAGCTAGACTTATTTACTAAGTAAAGACTATATTTAACTTATATAAGGCTAAAGGGTAGTTAAAAGGGCCTTAAAAAATACTAAGGTAGTCTTTATAGACCCTTTTATAATCTAATACCTAGGGTATAAGACACTAGAAGAAGTACTAGAGATACTTACTTATACACTAAAGAAGGACAAAAGGGCTAGTAAAGCTAGTAGTATAGAGGCTATAATACTAGAGGAATATAGAGAATAGGCCTATATATTTAATATAGACCTAGTAATAAAACTAGTAAAAGATAATATATAGATATATATAATAGAATTAGAACTAGGTATAGTACTACTATTTAGCTTTATTTACCTACTAGTAAAAAAAAACTAGAAAAGCTAAAGAAGTATATTAATAAATCTTTAGCTAAAGGCTAAATATAGCCTTTAAAGTTACTAGTAGAGGCACTAATCTTATTTATACCTAAAAAAAAAGTAAACTTTACCTTTATATTAACTACTATAGGCTTAATAAGATTACTATTAAGAACTAAGTACTACTACCTTTAATAAAGAAAATCCTAGACTATTTAGTAAAAGTAATATAATTTATAAAGCTAGACCTTAAGAATATATACTAATAGGTAAAGATCTATAGTAAAAATAAATAAAAAATAGCCTTTTATACCTACTATAAACACTATAAGTATTAGATTATACCTTTTAGGCTAGTTAATATACTTATAATATTCTAATCTTATATTAATAATACCTTAGTAGGTCTAGTAGATATTATCTATATTATTTATTTAGATAATATCTTAATCTTTATAGAGGATAAAGAAAGCTATATAGAGGTAGTAAAGATAGTACTAAGCTAGTTAGATACTATAAGGCTATATATTAACCTTAAGAAGTACTTTTTTTACACTAAGTCTATTAGCTTCCTAGGTTTTATAGTATCTAATAAAGGTATTTTAATAAAATAAAAGAGAGTAAAAGTAATTACTTAGTAGCTACTACCTACTAGTATATAGGAGATATAGACCTTCCTAAGGTTTATAAATTTTTATAAGTAGTTTATTAAGAACTATTCTAAGGTATATTTCCTTTTTACTAACTAACTATTTACTAAGATAGTAGAGAAGTAAGTAATTATAAGAAAAGCTAAAGAAGCCTTTTATAAGATTTATACTATATTTACCTATACCTTTATCTTATAGTATTTTAACCTTATATTACCTATTTAAGTTAAGATAAATATATTTAACTTTATAATAAAGGTAATACTAAGCTAGCTTTATAAAGAAGCCTAGTGCCTTATAGCTTATATATTATAAAAACTCTAGAGGGTAAAGTTATACTATAGAGTACTAAAGGCTAAGTTACTTATAATTTAGAAAGTAGCTATATATTAGAGATACTATCTTTTATATACCTAGTACTATATTATATTTTTAATAGACTACCTAAGGTACTACTACTTAGTAGTTAAGCTATAACTTAATAACTACTAAGCTAAGTTACTATAAGACCTTTTATTATTTAATTTTAAGATTAAATATTACTTAAGTAAAAATAATATAGTAAATAGGCTTTTATAAAGGCTAAACTACTAGCCTAGTAAAAAAGAAAAAAAAAAGTATAAGGTATATTCTTAAAGAACTTCCTTAGTAAGTTTAAAAGGAGAGTAGTAGTAATTAAGTGTAGTAGACTACTAGGTTAAAATATAGTAGCCCTAGAGGAACTTACTGCTACCCTAGAAGAGGAAGTTACTATAGTGTAACTAGAGGATAAGTAGATTTAGTCTAGAGAGTAGTAATAACTAGAGAGTTACTAGGCTAAAGAGAAAAATAGGTTACTCTAATACTAAAGTAGGCTTATAGTACTAAAGGGATATATAATAAAAATAAAGTTACTTATAGTATTTTATAATAAACTATTAGAGAAGTACTTAAGGGTAACCTAAATAATAAAATATATAAGATAAATATTTTTTTAAAAATTAATAAAAAAGAATATTAAAAGTATATTAATATATATACTACTTACTAATATATAAAACTAAGGTACTATTTACTTTATAGAAAACTAGTTTTTTTTTACTACTTAACTAACTATAAGAGTAGGTTACTATAGACTTTATTACTAAGCTACTAAAGTTAAAAGAATTTAATAGTAAAGTATATAATAGTATTCTAGTTATAGTTAATAAGCTTATAAAGTACACTATTTACCTATTTACTAAAGAAACCTTAATAGTAGATTAGCTAGTAACTCTTTTAGTAAATAAAGTATTCTTTTATTTTAGACTTTTAACTTTAATAGTATTAAATTATAGTTCTCTATTTATAAGTTATTTTTAAATAGTAGTATATTACTAGCTAGCTATTAAATAAAAGCTTAGTATAGCCTATTACCCTTAAACTAATAAATAAATAAAAAAGTAAAACTAGAATATTAAATACTACTTCTAAGCCTTTTATAATATTAAGTAAGATAACTAAGTAAAATAGTTACTTATAGCTAAATTTATTTATAATAGTTTATAGTATAGTATAACTAAGGTTATACTAGTAAAAGTACTAATAGGCTATATACTATAAAGTATATATAATATATACCTAGTAAAAGTAAGACTAATAAAGGTCCCTAGGGCCTATAAGAGGGTAAAGTAACTATAAAGCTAAAGAACTATAATTAATAGAATATTAAAAGTAGTTAATTAGGCCTATAAAAAGTAGTATAATACTAAGAGGTCTAATATAGATTTTAAGGTTAAAAAGAAGGTCTTTTTATTAGCTAAGTTTATTAAGTAAAAGAGACTATCTAAGAAGCTATTAAATAAGTACTTTAGCTCCTTTATAGTAAAGTAAGTAGTTAATAAAGGCAAGGCCTATAAAATAAATATAAGTACTAGATATAAGATCTATAATGTCTTCTTTTTATTTTAGCTAAAGAAGTTCTAGGGATTACTAGTAAAGCCTTAACTAATACTAATTAAAGAGAAAAAAAAGATATATATAAGATAAATTAAATTATAGCTTATAAAAGGCTATAGTAAAATTAGTAATACTTTATTAAGTAAAAAAGGTATAGTAAAAAAGAAAACTCTTAAGAACCTTAGAGGAATATTATAAAAAGATTATAATATAACTATAAGTAAAAGGTTACTAAAAGAAGACAAAAGTATAGCTAAGTAAAGTAAAGATTAGCCTAAGGATAACTAGATTAAAGATTTAATTATTATAGTACTAAGGCTAAGGAATATAAA